TGCACGCAGGCGGCGATAAAGTGTTGGGGAGAGGCGTGCTCGCGGCGAGTCGCTCTCTAAATGCACGCAGGCGGCGATAAAGTGTCTGTTGGAGAGAGGCCTGCTAGCGGCGAGTGGTTCTTTAAGTTCACGCAGGCAGCGATAAAGTGTTAGTTGGAGAGAGGCCTGCTCGTGACGAGTGGCTCTCTAAATACGCGCACGCGGCGAGACAGTGTCTGCTGGGGAGGGGCGTGCTCGCGGTGAGTCGCTCTCTAAATACGCGCAAGCGGCGAGAACGTGTCTGTTGGGAAGACACCGCGCACATGTACCTTCTGGGCAGAGTCACTCCCAAATTGGACACGCATTTCACGTAATTACCTCTTCCGTAAAGGCGTTCTCGGGGTGAGTCACTTTAGCAAATAACATGCATGTATCCGCTCGGCAGAGGCGTCTAGGCGGTGAGTCGCTGTCTAACGAGACGCAGGACGCGGAAACGTCTCCTAGGAAGTGACGTCCTCACGCTGACTTGTTCTCTTATAAGTAGCAAGCGGCGCGCAAGTGCTTTTAAGGCAGTGAAGAGCCGTTAACTAACTGAAAGCAGGCTACTTTGCGTGGAGTAAAATGATATCCGTCGGCTAAACGACGGTTTGTGATTGACGTTACCTTAAACGACTGCACTTACAGATTTATCGGGAATTGTTTTGTTGAGTCTGAAAAGACGAGCGTTATTCTGCTAAGAATGAATCGCAAAAAACCTCGGGTGAAACTAACGAAATTTTAATGCCTGTAGACTCCTTAAGAAGTCGTACGGTCTTCCGGTGGTGTTTCTCTAGTGAATCACTGGTTTATTTGATATACTATATTAATTGACATTTGATATTTTGAGATGTGCTCATTTATCTATGCAATGATTCATTCAATCACTTAGACGCACATTCATTCATTCAATTATTTGTTAATTTCTTCACCCAATCAATTATTCACTAATTACTTCACTCATTCAATTATTTATTAATTCATTAATTTATTTATTTATTCATTAAATCTTCATCCTTTCAATTATTCGTTAATTTCTTCACACATTGAATTATTTATTAATGTATTCATTTAATAATTCATTCGTTAACTTATTCATTGATTTATTCGTTAATTCATTCATTGAATTATTCATTCATTCGGTGTTTCACTTATTCATTCATGTTGTTTGTTATGTTGCACGCGCGAGCAGATCCCTGAGACGACGGGCGAGGCGCTGGCGATGGCCCATCTGCTGCGTTCCGTGCCGCGCCCCGCCGACCAGGACATCGGCTCCGACATCTGGGCCTACGTGGGCGCCGCCGACTTCGACGACTCGGGGAACTTCTCCACCATCTTCGGTAAATGATTGGGTTCGGGTCGTGAGAAAAGACAATAAGAAGTTTTGTATTACGCGCGTCCCGCGCCCACCCGGAATGACCGGCGCCTTCTGGAATACAGTAGAACTTTGGTAATTCGAACCCCGCAAATCCGAAATTGCGGATAATTCGAACAAATTCCAGATGGAGGAAAAATTAATAAAATAAATAAAATGCTTATTTGTAGTATAAAGAAAGGGTTTTATAGTTACTGAACAACTAATTATTGAAACTCAAGTTGTCGAAATAAAACGATTATTGCACTGGTAACTGCGGTATATATCACATGTTTATGTAGCAGTTATTTTCCCTTAAAGAAACTTGCAAAGTTGGTAGTATTGTTATACCGTAAGGTACTACATCTGCTTTTTGATGCGATGTGATAATTCGATCGCTACGCTACGTTGCCATTTTCTCATATCTCACATCGCACGCGTACCAGCATTGTGTGGTAATCCTATAGATATATTTGTATATGTACGGTACATTTTTTTCGGGTAATTCGAGCATTTCCGAATCCAAACAGGCCACACCCCTAATTAGTTCGGATTACCGGGGTTCTACTGCACTAGAATACTTTTTCTCGAGAGGGTGCTGCTTTGAGTGTAAAAATCGTGGCTTCAATTTGCTGCAAACACGAAGGAGCTTCAGCTACTCTATTGTAACGTATTGCGAAACGCCCCCCCCCTTGACGCCGTGATGACGCCTTGAAGTCTGGCGCCGTGGTGGCGCGCGGGCAGGTTGAGGGAGGTCCACACGCCAGGGGTGAGTAGAGAGTTTGAATAGGAAGGGAGACGGGGCGGAGGCGCCCCGCGGTAATTTGGGAACTTCCGAGAATCCTTGGGGAGGGGTGCATGACATGCATGGCAACTGCATGACAGAGCGGAACACAAGATGATGTCACCTGTTACGTGGGTGGAAGATACATAAGCCAGTATACAAGACGCGAGGGGGGGGGTGCGCAGTGTGGAAACCGGGTGCAAATGCCCAACATTGGCGCCCAGGGGAGTGCGGAGACGAGCTATGCTCGTGGGGCGACTCCTGTGTTGCCGTTGTGGAACAAATGTTCCACGTGGTCACGAAGTGTTACGCTGCGTGCTCACGTTGAGGAGTGGCGAGGACCTCACTCTGACCGAACTTCAATGCGATAAGGATCGCTCCTGCGATCAAGGGAAAGGGTCTCTTAAAGCTGTCAATAACTGTTTAAACTATTTATGTGAAAATGCGTATTTATTACTAAACCTTGTGAATATCAGAGCGCGTGTCTGTGTTTGCTACTGCGTCCCCACCATGAAGTTAATCCCTGTCTGACCGCGTGTGCCGCGGCTGCAGGGACGCCGCTGGCGTGGCAGCGCTGGGGGCCGGGGCAGCCCAACGGGGACCCGGGCGAGCAGCCCTGCCTGGTGCTGGACCGCGCCGCCACCCTCTGGGACCTGCCGTGCGACCGGCCCATGGCCTTCTTCTGCCGCCGCTTCCCGGCCGACCCGCCCTGGACGGTGGCCGCCACGCGCGGCCGGCCCGGCCGCGGATGGCGCGTCTCCTCGCCGGTAAACACACTCACACAATTCCTTTTTGTTATTTACGTTGGCTATTCCACTCGTCAAATTAAAACCAATAGTGTTTAAGTATACATACGAAGCCGTGGATTTTTAAGGCGCGAAAAAAATCCGTCGTACGCCTTCCTTCGGAGGGGAAGTAAAGCCGGCGGTCCCATGTTAGTAGATTCACTTGCATGTAAAAGATCCTAAATTACGCCTCTGAGCTAAATTCAAATCGCCGGTTTCTCGCCCAAGAAATGCCTCCTTTCTCTGTTAGTTGGTGGAAGGAGCGTAGCGAAGTTTGTGTGGTCAGACGGAAGAGCGGGCCTGATGGCCTGAGTCTCGCCACGTAAAATAAGGCAGTAATTCAATTCCATTCATAAGAAATGCCCCAATCAGGGTGGTGTATCTCAAAAAGGTTATCGTTTAATCTATATGATTTTTCTTACCGCTTCTCCCTTCCGGCCAATCATAAACTGTGACTCATCTATCTTAGGAGCCGGTATAAATCGATCGCTATGTCAGTCCAATAAACAGCTTATGTATTATAACATAACCTCTTCGATTTAAACTTCTTTTCTATATTTGACGCATTTTGGAACTCCGTTGGACATGAGTTTACTCGTGGAAAAGTCCTATTAAATACCACTATGCTTTGCAAATTCTCAGATAAACCCCCTCCATGTTCGCGAGTGGGGGATTTATCGTTAATTTCTACAACACTCATGGTATTACCTGTGATAAACACGCTCTTAGCCTCTTAGCAACCAACAATCTAAAAAATGCTTTATGAGCGCGTCTATAGCAACGGCCGTTAAAAAATCGAAAGTCCGCTAAAATATTTTTAAGAGTATAAAAAATTAAAAATATTTTAGCGGACTTTCGGGTTTAGATGTTATCAGTGCTCATAAATCTTGAGAATAAATATGACGACGACATAAAACACAATTTTTGGTAATAAATGTAAACAAAGTTATTTTTTACAACTATTTCCGTACTGATAGGTTATATTGAAACTAGTATGCAAGCATAATCTCTTCGTTACCTCGAACATTCCTTTTCGTTCGCCAATCACAAAATAATTCATAAGCTTTCTCATAAGTGGATACATAAGTAGAACAGAAGTAGAAGGCAATAAAGTAGAGCTTGCAGTTCCTGCTTTCTCCAGAATATCATCTGGCACAAAAATATATTCTGATACTTGGAAATTCCTCGACATTTTATCTCAATCGCATTCCATTACCAGAAAAACCATTAAACTGTTTGATCACAAACAAAGCACTCAGTACCATGAACCCTGAATACAGAAAATCGAGAGTAATGACAATATTCTTAACTCAAGAAAGTGATAAAACTTTATTTTGAATAAGCGATAAACTAGATTTAACAAAAATCATTGTATGACTCCTCTACACATTGACATCTATACATTAACATTGTAAAAACTCCACTATACGAGTCTTTTAGATCTCAGCGGGAAGGTTACCTACTCGCCTTCGCTATCGCGCCACATCGCAGTTAACCTTCCGGCTTCGTTTTTAAAGACTCGTTTAGAGGACTTGTCACATAAACAAGTATACCTCCCTTAGTCTTAACTTTTTCCCACTAGGGTGATTGATTACTCTGTGTTTTGGGGCGCGTCAACTTCTATAGTCATTTGTCCTGTAATTGTAGTCCCGGTTATATCACGTGCAGTGGTGGTGTTCTTCCACAGCTGGATGGTGAGATATGGCGCCGACCTCCACGTCGACTCGCAGGGTTTTCTTATCTCGGTATTTCCCACCAGGGGGCACCGCCCCAGGACAACCTCTAAGCATCCATCATGTCTGGCTGTATATGTGTGTGGGTAAATGTACGTATATATATATATATATATATATATATATATATATATATATATATATATAAGAGGGCAAGAAGAAGACAGGAAAGACGAAGGAAAGATCTTGCGCGGCCCTTGGCGCGTGGTTATTCGTTAGGGTACTACTCCAGCTACAGGACAAATAACCGGGAAGTCCTAGCTCTTGAGACCCGGCGGTGGCAGGATTTTTGACTCTGACCAGACAGTTAGGTCGAATTCACTCGCTGTATGGGGGAGAATTCTAGCGTCCGGCAGCGCTGATCTGTAGTTCTACGTGGGTTCTCCGTTCAATACCAGTCGAATGCCTGAGCAGAACCCTAACAAACGGGCCACGGACCGCGCGCGATCTTTCCTTGCTCTTCCTTGTCGTATCCTCACCCCTTACTTACACTTTCATTCATTACACTACCGCACATGCTGGGAGACCGGTCGGGAGCTCAGAGCTTCTCCCAGCTGGGGCGGTGCCCCTTCGGGAGGAGGTATCTGGGTGAGGAACATCTCACAAGTCGACATGTAGGTCGGCACCGGACCTTGCCATCCAGCGGGGGAAAGATCACCACCACCTCACGCACCAATATACGAACTACACTTACGGGACATTAGCACTTGTCGCGCGCGCAAACGTTAACGCATCAAAGTGACGTGCGGCGCGCGCTGCCTTCGCAGGAGATGCGGCGCTGGCTGCGCGCGATGGAGAACGTGGCGGAGCCGCGGGGCTTCGCGCGGGCCGACCTCAGCGCGTGGATCGAGAGCTTCCGCAACGCCACGCCCCTCGCCGCCTACGCGCCCTTCGACTTCGACGCCGACGCCTACTCCCTCTGACCGCCTCGCATTCGCCCCCCACGCGCCGCGCGGCGACGGCGGCCGAGGAAGAGGACGGGAGACTGGAAGACGGAGAACCGACGCAAAGTGTGGCAGGGAGAGGGAAGAAAATAAAGGGGAGGGAAAATTAGTGGGAGGGAAAATGAGGGGGGAAATGAGAGGGATGGGAAGCGAGAGGGATTGAAAGTGAAGGGGAGGGGAATCAAGGGAGGGAAAGTGAGGGAGAGGAAACCTGAGGGGAGGTAAGGGGGAGGGAAAGTGACGGGGGAAATGTGGAGGAAGGGAGGAAGAAATGGTAGAGAGAAGGGACTAAAAGGAGGAAGGGAAAAATTGCCGTAAAGGGAAGAAAAATAGGAAGGGGGGAGAAATAGAGGGATGTGCGAGAAAAACAACAGGTGTGGAGGATGATAGAATAGGGGAAGAGGAGAAGCAAAGCAAATGAAGTGAAAGATAAGAAGGAATGAAAATACGTTGCTGTGAGACGCGGGTATAGGTGCCTACGTTACACCGCCATTCTGCGACCTTCTTCAGGGCGAAATGCCACATTTTGTTCTGAAAAAAGGCCGCAGAATGGCGGAAGAAAGGTCGGTACGTGTGTCTAGAACGCGGCATCTCCCAGACAGGCAAATATTTAGTAACTCCGGCCACGGAAGCTCTCAACAAAGAATGATTCCGAGTGGAATGGAGGGGAATAACATAAGAGAAATCGCGAATTACAAAACGAAGAAGGACTATTAGAAAAAGGGTGATAAAAAGGACAATAGCGGTTTCAAAAAGGACACAAATCTAATGAAGATGAAGAAATTCCTGAGGACAAAAGAATGAAGGGAGACAAGCTGGATTTAATGAGAAGTAAATTAAGAATAGAACATGAGAAGAAAAAAGGGATAACTGCAAAATAGGTGAATAGAGGGAAAATATATTAAAAAGATATGAAGGGTAAGAGGTAGAGGTAAGTCAGAAGGAGATAAACTAGAAGAAGAAAGAACAGAAGAAAATTAAAACACCGAAATGAATGTAAACAAAGTAGTGTGAGAGGCAAATTAATGAAAGAAACTACACAAAACTGGAAGAAAGGGGTTGAAAGAGCAGGTGTTGAAAGGGAGAAAATAAGGGATTGGGGGAAGAAGAAGGATGGTGAAAAGAAGAGAAAGAGATTTGGGGAAACATGATTTCAGCTGCTACATGATACCTTATCCTTCAGTTATTACCCTTCAATGACAATTACGCCAAGGGAAAACGAGAACATACACTCAAGAAGATGAAAAGAAAATATAATAATGGATAGACCAATATGCATTGATAATAAAAGGTGAAATATCAAAGCAGAGAAATTGGGAAAAGATAGATAGGAGGGGGGTTTCCAAAGAGAATGGGTTTATAAATGAAGCTGTTAACTTATTTCTATTTTGATAATTTTGAATCACAAGTAATATTAAATTCCTTATCCCGATGAACAATAAGTTTTAATAAAATAGATGTACAATATTTGTTCTATGGTTAACTATCGCAGCTTGTGTCAAATAATACATTACAAAAACTTAACATAAAAAATAAATATAAAGATAATAGAAAAAGAATTAAATGTGAGTTTGTTGATCTTCCAATTTCATTTATATTTAAATCTTTTTTGTATTTGTTTATTATGAAATGATAAATTAATTTAACTACAAAAATGTTTTGGTTCCTACAGTTGTTTATTTTTATAGCCATCTACTACGTATATAAAAAAAATGATTGTATGTTTCCCAAAATGTTCCTTCAGCAAATCTAGAGGGGAAGGAATTTTTCCTCCTCTGGATTTCAGAGGTAGAAGAAATGGGGGTGTGTTTCTTCATAGTTACCACAACCGAACATCATGTATGTATCATAATTCATCATTCATATTACCCACAACTGGAAACTGTAACACGCAAATAGAATTAAGATGAAGTATATACTCGTATGCAAGTTATAATTACATTCTAAATAGAGGCAAGTCACAATGTTACAAAAACAAAAAATTAAAAAAGATATATGCACCAATATTTACCCCATTACACAGGCAATTTGGTAGCTTTTCTTATACTTTAGTGCCGACGAGTTTTATATTGGCAAAACATTTTTTTAGCTCTTAAGAACTTCTATCCAGGAGTGGCCACTACTAACCAAAACAGAAGTCTCGCATAAGAGTCACTTCAAATATCATTTGGTATTTCCATTGAAATTATTCAAAAAAAAAATAAAGATCCAAAATGAGTATTGTATATTTAAGTTAATCCACAATTGGCAGTTTTTTAAAAAACTTCCTTCATTTTACAAATGGGTCCTCGTTATGTTGTTGTATAAAATCAGATGTAATATAATATAAGTAGAGATTAAACGTATCTTATTCCAAGGATGTTCGTAATTCTTAATATAAGAGCGTTTCAAAAGACCAAGGACCTTTAGCCTGGAGATATATTAAGATTTTTTTTGTACAATGCTTAATGAATTCAGATTTACCATATTTACTTAATTAACAGATTGTTAACTTTGTACCCCATTATTTTTTATTTTATTTTCACTTGTCTTTTCATAACTTCCTCCCATAATTCCTTTTATAATTCATTCTGTAAGAGAATGTCTGTAGCGTCATTCAACAATATTCATATTTCCCTTATAATCAAGATCCTCACGATTGAGGTAAATGCAGCGTATATCAAGCAATGAGAGTATAGTATAATTGTTTATGTTGTCAAAAGGCCCAAAAATATGAAAGATACCTTTTTGTGCCACAACTGCATTATCCTCCAATGCAAGACATTTATTAAACATAGTGTTAGATTAAAAACAGGAAGCTAAAACATCACTAATTCATTAGTTTTAACAAAATGATGCAGCATAAACTTTTGAATTATCTTAAATTATGGTAATTGTACATTGATGATCATTGTAACAGTTATGATCACTGTAATAAATCTTTCCTCCAAAATAACAAAACAATGCAGAACAAAAACCATTCGGTTCCTGTTTGAATTTATTTTTATTGCATTCAACAATTCAAGCTCTAAAGCTATTAATACACAAAACATATAACTTCTCTATATTTAAATCTTACATTCTACGCTCATAATGCATTCTGTAATGCTAAGAAATGTTTTTCTATTGAACATTGTCGAAAATGATCTTGCTGAATTTGGACATTTTAATTTGGTTCAACTATTACCCAGTAATTCTCTCACTATGAAATTGTTTACATGACCATAAAATGTATTCTGTATCGTCAACGGCTTCTTTGCATTTACATAAATGGCTTGCAGTTATGAATACAATGTCATTTATGGGCATATAAAACACGCTTACAAAGCCTAGTTATAAAGTATTGGTTTTTATTTAAGGACTTCAAAATACAAACTACTGAATACCCTAAAAAATAATATTTACAATATATTCAAATATTTAAATATTTTTCTAAATACTTAATATAAATTTAACAATACTAACTATACTAACAATACTAACTATAAACATTATGTTGTTATTTAAAGTCTTAAATGATAAATAAAACTGACATTTAATGGGATCATGAGAGTGCCTCGCTCTAGAGGCGACAAAATGTACGAAGCGACCTACTAGGTTCTTGTCAAACATAAAAGATGGCAGCACCATCTACATTCAAGGCGGCAAAATTTAAAATTTACCCAGTTGGCCCTGGCTCAAGAAACATCTGAATACGCCCTGATGATCACGTGCGTCGCAGATAATCTTTCAGTATATACCCAAAATTTCAAATAGTAACAAACTACTAAATCAATGTACAAGTATTTTTGTACTTATCTTCAAGGCTATAATGTTGCATTTTAAAACTTTTTATAGTTCGTAAAATAAAACTTTTTTCAGCTTTGTTTATATATGTCTCACAATACCCACTTCTCTCGCAAATAAATATTTCTGAATGTAATACGGGCTCTCTATCTTCTACGGAATATCTTGCTCTAACCACCTTAAATTCAGGATTCCCAACCCTTCCTCTTAAGGCGGTTCCACGCTTGCTATTAGGCTATTTTGCTCGCTATTTGGCCGCGTATTTGCCGAGCGACGAACATTCGATGCTCGCTCTACGCAGCTGCTCGAGATTGGGCGAGCAGTAGCTCGCTGCTCGCCGAATCTCAAATATGTTAAGGCGGCTTTACACTCGTGAAAGTGTCAACATTCTACCGCGAGAAAAAGGAGAACGATTATTTGAATAACTATTCCCCACTAATACCCCACACAAGTCAAGAAAAAGGTCGCAGCTAGTGAATACATTTATGTACAGAAACAAAAGAATGGCTCGTTTCAACATTTACCCAATGGTTCAAGTGAAACTGCAGAGGACACTTGATCGAGATAGGTGACTTTGGCTCAACATCTGACGTACAATTCGGCATATTTAGTCTTTTAGTATTATAAACGAATGGTAATTAATGCATTCATAACATTTTAAAAATAGCATTTCTTTATATTTGTGTCTTGCTATTGTCCTTACTGTAAACTATTCATTCATGCTTTTAACATGACTTTTGAAATACTTAGACAAAGTTCTGTGATAAAATCTCTATCGTTTTAAAATTCGCTTGAATGAGGAAAAACTGTTTTTTATGACACATGATTTGAGATACCCGAAGGTGCTAACTTTATATCAGCGATTGCCTTAAGATCCACCTCCAAATTGTTTCAAAATTAGATTGACGTACTCCAACATTAAAATGAAACAACATATCTACAAGTTCAATTTCCGCGCACATTTTCTACAACTTCTAACAGCCAATTATGTTTTTTTTGGTGACAAAAATACAAATTAGCTCTTTGAAGATAAAATAAAATTAACGCAGTTATTATGCTTAACGTTAATTGTTTGTGTGGTATGTGTAACATTCCCTGGACGTAACATGAAAAAATAATACGTTGGTGTATTTTTCATGTTATATTGACATTTTTTGGGTTTAACTATTAGTGAAGGCTTTGTGAAGTTAATAATTCACAAATATTGACGTATTACTAGCTTGAAACTCACAGATGGGGGTTAATGCACTTTCACATCCAAGTACTTTTTGGATCAGCTGACGACATTCTTTGACTACTCGTATGACAGATAAGTAAATGGCACTAGCGACTTGAAAGATTGTGAACTCAAGACGTAACAAGGATATGTGAAACGAGGCTACCGACCTCATGATACTCACGCTCATATATTAAAAGCTTTGAAATCACTGTCGAGATGATAAAATACAATGACTCAATAAGAGATTATCAGTTTGTATTCTCTATTCAGTGGTTGAGTAATTCTTTTGTTGATAGAGGCTTATAATGAAGATGTCTACTTCGTAGATTTAGACATTTTTTAACAGACTCTCTAAAAAATAAGAAAAGAATATACAATTAAAATTAGAAAAATAATCTAGCTCTAAAACATGTTATTCGAATGCCAAAGACACATTTTCATTACTAGTTACTTAAGTAACGTCATAATTCCCTACGTCATCTTTTGTGTGGACGAAATGTGACGTCATTGCTGGCATATTTATCCCAGGCATTTGAACATACAAATATGAAGGTAAAATTCAAATAATAATAATAATAATAATAATTATTATTATTATTATTATTATTATTATTATTATTATTATTATTGCTTAATAAGCTGCAGAACAGAATTTTAAGCGCATTTTTAAAGCAAGAATGTACAACTAAAACTAGTTGTAAATGTTATTATTTGAACTACTTCGTTGTATATGGATTAAGACGTCAAATTAGTGTTTGTGTTCACTTCAAAATTGAACTTTGTAGCTGGCTTATGCAACATGACGCGTCTTTGAGGTTATTTAGTTAAATATCTTTAAATTACTTGTGTCCGTTATTTTTCTGATGATTATTACTCATTTAAGAGCAAAATATTACCACATTACATAGCAAATCACTTTGTATTGACATTTTGCATAGTGATTGTAGCAATTTTCAAGTCTTGCGTTGTTAGAGCAACCTTGTAAAATTTAATAAATCGTGCATTTGGTCTTAGTTAATGTCACTTACATTACATAACATGAAAGAGCATTTCTTAAACTGTTTTCTTACATACACTGACACCATTGTTCATACATTTGTCATCATTAACAACAAAGGTCGCCCACTCCGTGGTTGGTCATGAAAATTGGTTCATCTATC